TATTACTATTATACCGACTTCCCGCCCCGCTATCTATGGAACGCCAGAGTCGCAAAGATAACTAAATACGAGGTATGTTCAAAAAGTTCGTGGATTTTTGCTGTCATTTTTTACTTGGTTCATACAAACACCTTAAGTGGATATGAATCGAAAGAGTATCTTTATTTTCAAAAGTAAGATTTACTTTTATTGTTAACTTTTATTTCCTTTACGAGTTATGTGCACTTTAATAACCATGGCAACGCAACATCGGCGCACGCCGAAATTTTCATTTAATGTTTAAATATAAACAAATGTTGAAACAAATTAAATGATTTTTTTTATGAAGTAAAATCAAGTAAGCATCTATTAATATTTAAATGGCATAAATCTGACTTTTGGCGTCGTTTGGACGTTGAATAGCTGAACAAACAAGTTTTGAGCAGCAGTAGACAGACGGGTAAGTTGGGAAGTATAGACCCCGTTTAAAAACTAGAAATTCGCTCTTTCGGAAATTTTTACCAATAAATGTGGTATACTCCTTTATATTTTTATAAGGTGATTAAATTAACGAAAAATAATGAGTTGTCGAGCAAGTCTCTTGGTTTCAGGTCGCGCAAGCGATTCAAATACGGCAAATACATGCTCACAGACAGAAAGGGCAACGAATAATTTTAGCGGCAAATTGTTGGGACGTTTGTTACGTCAATTGCAAAAGATCTACAGAAGTTCAGGCATTTTGACAGTTTTGCGAGATGTCCGACATGTTTAATTTCTGCATCGGGTCTATGCATTCAATTCTGACAAAACAATTTAATTTAATTAAAAAAATATTTTATTTCATTCATCAGGATATATGCGTATTTACATTAAATACTTGTAGTTATTATTTGTATTGCCAGTATTAACCCTGGTCTGTTTGATAATTAATGCTAGCCGGCGTTCAGTAGACTTACCGCATAGAATAATTGTCAGTTGATAAAATATTTTCTTTATCATCGATAATTATATTGTTTAAAGATCGGACGAGGGCGGTTTCAAATTGATACTATCAATCAACAATTGAATTTTACTTAATAACACTGTTTCGTTTAGTGTCTAAATTACTCAAAAATCCGATAAAGAGCGGAAAGTATGCGGCACTCGGACCTTTATACGGAGAAATGGAGCGAATAGATGACCACTTTATATCTCGGATCATCATCGCAAACAGAAAAATGGTTTTGGTATATGATCCGCAGATATTGAACACTAAAAAGAGTACTTTCAGAAACAATGATGCTGGTAAAATGTTTCATTTATATTGCGACGTCACGAACGTCATTTTGTTTCATCATCAGCGTGCGCCGGATTGTGCACCCCTTGTGATTTGTAACTGTCACAGAATTTTTATTTGTAAACATATTGTATTGATTTTTTCACTGTTTATTAAGAACATATTTTCATATATGTCTCTTGTAAAATCATATACGCAAATTAAAAGATGTGAACAGTAGAGCCGCAGTCCACGAACTTTTTGAACAGCCCTCGTACGTTGTGAAATGCACAGATTGACTGCATTATAAAGACGTATAATAATAGCTGTACGTTTCAGAAACTAAATCAAAGTGTGATTGTGTGAAGTGAGACACCTGAAATATACAAAAAATACAATTTTGGCATTCCATATACGTACACAATGGTCAGTTGCCTCTCGCCGGTATGGGTTCGAATCCCGCCAAGGACTTTGGATTCTTTCCTTCCAGGAAAATAACCAGCAAGCTTACAGAACCTTGGTGGTTTTACTTAGGTGTACGTTCGTGCCTAAAATTATGCACAGAGGCACGCCTGAAGTCTTTCTCCACCCGTAAACCTAGAATGTCACCATATAACCTATATTTTGTTGGTGCCACGTAAAAACCAAACAAAAATATATAAATGTGAAGCAATATTTATCCGATTAGGTTAATACAAAATTTCCTTGATCTGCAAACAACATTCCATTGGATATATTTCTTTGTTTCATTAAGAGGTATTGTACTGGTACGATATTAACAAAATGATTTTAATTTTTTCTCTAAAGAATAATTTCTTGTATTAATACAGACTTAATGAACACGGTAGGCGACAGATATCAGATGGATGAGCAATGGTTCAGACCCAGTTTAGACCTGTTTGAAGTGCTTGCAGCTGGAGACCCCTAAAAGAAAAAAGCCTGTCAATTTATTTCAACAGATAGCTGCTCACTAATTATTTCTTGACTGAAAGACCGGAAAATGCTCAGTTTCAAATTTAAGTTCCATGCAATAGGTTGATGTTAACTCCAACTAAACCACCTGTATCGCTTGAGTCGGAGATAAGAACCTTTAGCTTTTCTTGGAAATACACGGCGTACCTTTTTCGCATGTCAAACATAGTTCTGTATTAATTTGAGGTCCAACATTTTAGCTCTATTGCGGACCAAGTTCTTGCAACATGTATAAATCGCTTTTGAATCCTCTTATAGGGGCTTGTATGTATTTGCTATAATTTATTATTAAGTTATTAAAGTGGAACTTCGGTCGCAATCTAATAAAATATTACACTGCTTTATTGTATTAAAAAAGCCAGATATGACAATTTTGACATCTACTATGACATTTTAAGGGACCAGAACTATCTGAAGGGTGATAGGAGAAAGAAACACAGAATGACATGTGACAAAGGTTTTGTTCAAGTTCAATTCAATTTATATCAAAACTAAATGAAACTGCCTTTAAAAGGAGCCAAAATTCTTTAATGTACCAGGTCAGGCCAATGTAAAATAGGTACAAAGAAAACTATATGCAAGTTTGTTTAAATCAAATAAAAGTGTCCTGCACAAAAAGCAAAGCATGTTCTATTTGGACCTTAAGAAGGGGGTCAAACATTAATTGAATCAGTCCAATATATTAACATGAGCAAGTTTAATTCAAACTAAATCAAGAATGAAACTGTTATGATGCATAAAGACAAAATATTTCAGTTTGGTCTGTTAAGGGGACACAACTCTGTCTTCCATGGTGCTCAAGATTTAAGGATAAACAAATTATGAATACATTTGATTAAAATATCAGAAATGAAGCTGGTTTTGTGCAAATTAAGCAGGTCCTAAAGGGTCATTTAATTTGACCTCTACAAATCCTAAAAGTTCATTTAACAGATCCTGAAAGCTAATTTGATATGACCCAAACTGATCCTAAAAGCTAATAATTATATCAGCTAAATATTATGTATATGACAGTATAAGTACTTGCATGGAAATAAAACTCATAGAAAATGTCAAAGAATATTTACTGTCTTGTAAAAATCCTAAACCAATCAAAAGAAACAACAAACTATGGGATTTCTTTTTTGTATTTAATTAATCATATACATCAAAATAAATATAAATATATAGCTTTCTACAAAATCAAAAAAGAAATAGAACTATTTGCTGTAGCATGTACTATTCTCAAATAATATCTCTATATGTTAACATGAATTCTTTTTACACTTGAAAGTATTTCAAAGTGTTTTAAACAAGTCAAAATTATGTGTAATTCAGTTTTCGGTTGTTGTTATTTTTTTTATTGGAGTATCTTTTTTTCTAAAAATTACTCTTTAATTGTAAGAATCCTTTTCTACATGACCGTTAGTGTCTAGATTTCTATTAAATAACAGTAATTTATTTCAGTTAAATATCCCTTTTTCTGTCCTATCATCACAAAATTGATGCCATTTTTTTTAATATCAACTGCTCATCCTTAAAGAAAAACTGCCATTCATCTAAGTTCCCCATCCTTTCTTGTAAAAAATATCAAATCTTTCAGACGGGACATGTATTTTCAGGTATTTTTCTCTACCATCATTAAATTATTGTAAGTTCAAACAGTTCTATCACAATCTCCCACTTTTTTCCCAAACTCTGTTATGTTTATATAAATCAAATGCTCTTGAATGTGACGCAGTAGATAGATGTTCTGACGGGGCAGAAATTCCTGGCAGTGACAACGTGACACTCTCCTTCTGACGCTCGCTTGAGAAAAACTCCATTAAATCTGGCTCTCTGTGGTCCTATAAAAAAGAAACAATTAAAAACATTCTATAAATACATTAGAAAGAATGATAAATCTGTAAAAAGACTTACTCCTGGATTTAGAATTTTTTTGGATTTCCCAGCTAATACGGGGGTACAAACAAATTTTTAAAGTTACAACTTCGAAAGTATAAGTGCAACAGGTTGACTAATTTATTGTGGGTGGAAATGCACTGTGAGCTATAGGCTTAAAAGTTTGTTTGTTCATGAACCAGTATATTAGCTTGAAAAACCCCAAATTTACAAAGTTCCAGGTAGTGGAGAACTGAACAACTCTAAAATGTATAAATAGAAAGTAAAATAGAAAGTAAGAAACAAATGAAATATTAATCATAATATAAAATAATAATAATAATGACAAACTTCATTAATAGGCATTTTATTTGGTAATGAAACATTATAATATATTAGCCATTTATTTTTTATATAAATAAAATCAAATCTGTTTTGTATAAATTTTCTCTGTTCTTTCTATTGGATTTAAATATCACCATGAAATTATTGGACTTAAAATAGATCCAGTACCTACCTTGAACTTAGATTTTGGCATTTTAATTTGTTTAGCCCTGGCAGATTTCATCTCCACAGCTTGTTTACATACTTCTTCTGCGGGAACATTTAGACTAACGAGACCACTAAATGCTGTCCCTTCTGTGTTAACCAAACTTGCTGCCTAAAATTATATCAAAACAATACCACTTTATTACATAAAACAAGACCTATGTGCACAGCAGTACTGTATTAATATATACAAGTGTTTACTTTTGAGTTTAGCAGTACTTTCCATATATTTTATATTCTTAAGGAATATTCCTCATAGCAAGTGTTTGTGAATTCTTTATCAGCACTAACCATTCATCTGCTGAATTTATGTTATGGGCTTACCCTCTTTTCAATATGGAACCGTCCAATTCAAATTTCAGGGATTTCAATATCAAAATACAAAGCTTGAGCTACCAACAGTATAGAGCCTGGTCAGATTTCTCAGATGTCCAGGCTGGCCTGACTGTATACTGGTGACAAAGGCCTATCACATTTCGGTTCCAGCAGAGAAAAGGTTAACCTATTTTTACAACAAGAAACTGTTACATTTTCAACATCAATCAATAAATTAGTTTAATATGGTAGAAAAATACCCTTGAATATAACCTGTAGTCTTTTAACTCGTTAACAACTCATAATTCTGGTCTTGAATTTTACTAATGTAAGCTAGCAAAATGGCTGAGGAAATTAAACAAGAGGGCCATGATGGCCCTGAAGTCGCTCACCTGAATATAGGTCCCCAGAGCGGGGCCAGTTTAAACCCCAGGGCTTTTATTTGAACATACTTGGTAGACACCCATTAGAAGATATTTCATGCTTAACATCTAAACTCTAGCTATTTGGGTTTTTTCAAAGAAGAATTTTTTTGCTATACACATATAAGGAAAATCAATGACCCCTGAGGCGGGCCAATTTCGACCCCAGGGCTTTTATTTGAACAAACTTTGTAGACACTCACTAGAAGATGTTTCATGCTAAATATCGAAACTCTAGCTATTTAGGTTTTTTCAAAGAAGAATTTTTATGTTTTTGCCATACACATATAAGGAAAATCTATGACCCCAGGGACGGGGCCAATTTTGACCCCAGGGCTTTTATTTGAACAAACTTTGTAGACACCCATTAGAAGATGTTTCATGCTTAACATCTAAACTCTAGCTATTTGGGTTTTTTCAAAGAAGATTTTTAAGATTTTGCTATACACATATAAGGAGAATCAATGACCCCCGGGGCGGGGCCAATTTTAACCCCAGGGCTTTTATTTAAACAAACTTTGTAGACACTCAATAGAAGATTTTTCATGCGTTATATCTAAACTCTAGCTATTTGGGTTTTTTTCAAAGAAGAATTTTTAAGTTTTTGCTATACACAAATAAGGAAAATCAATGACCCCCGGGGCGGGGCTAATTTTGACCCCAGGGCTTTTATTTGAACAAACTTTGTAGACACTCACTAGAAGATGTTTCATGCTAAATATCTAAACTCTAGCTATTTGGGTTTTTTCAAAGAAGAATTTTTATGTTTTTGCTATACACATATAAGGAAAATCAATGACCCCCGGGGCGGGGCCAATTTTGACCCCAGGGCTCTTATTTGAACAAATTTGGTAGACACCCATTAGAAGATGTTTCATGCTAAATATCTTAGCTTTAGCTCTTTGGGTTCTTTAAAACAAGATTTTTTAAGTTTTTACTACAGTCGACTCGCTTATAACAAATTATCTTTAATAGCGAACTTAATTTGACATCCCCGGCTGATTCCTTCTTTATTTATATTAAATCACATCGCTTAATACGTACTCGCTTACAACGAATTTTTGGCTATAACGAACCATTTTTTCAAGCCCCAAATGACGGAAAATATGTAAATTTCATCGGTTATAACTAACTGATATAATTAAAATATCGGGATGCACTCAATTAGGATGAATACATGAATAACACTATCCGATAATTATACAATCGAATGATTGCACATGTTAGGTATGGCTTCAGGGAATAAGATTTTGATAAATTGTTCTCACAACATAATTTCCTACTTGTTACGGAAAATTTGTATTTTGCACCCTCAGTTGATTGCTGTAAATACCCACTTATTACCAAATAATCGATTGTTTTTGTTTGGAATATTAACCAAACGATAATAAACAAATAGCAAAAGAATACTTTAAAGACAAGTACTACATGAAGAAATACATGTACCATGTATATAATATATTGTTTAATAAAATGCCCCGCATTAAATAACCATTTAATAACTGCTGCAGTAAAATACCAGTTACACCGGTAACCAGTGAAAAGTTGTTGCTACTTCGCTTTTAGCGAACTTCAATATAACGAACGATATTTAAATGTCCCATTGAGTTCGTTTTAACCGGAGTCGACTGTATATGCATATAGGGAAAATCAATGACCCCTGGGGAGGGGCCAATTTTGACCCCAGGGCTTTTATGTGAACAAGCTTGGTAGACACCCATTAGAAGATGTTTCATGCTAAATATCTTAGCTCTAGCTCTTTGGGTTCTTTAAAAGAAGATTTTTTAAGTTTTTACTATATGCATATAGGGAAAATCAATGACCCCCTGGGGCGGGGCCAGTTTTGACCCCAGGGCTTTTATTTGAACAAATTTGAAAGACACTCACTAGAAGATGTTTCATGCCAAATATCTAAGCTCTACCTCTTTGGGTTTTTTAAAAGAAGATATTTTAAGTTTTTTCTATCGGTTGCCATGGCAACCAGAGTTCTGCATGGAATTAAATTCTTTGAACAATTTTTAAAGGTGACCACCAAAGGAACATTCCTGTGAAGTTTGAATGAAATTGGCTTAGTGGTTTATGAGGAGATGTCATTTAAAGTAAAAGTTTACGGACGGACGCTTGACGGACGCCGGACGAAAAGCGATCACAAAAGCTCACCCTGTCACTTTGTGACAGGTGAGCTAAAAATTGTCAGCAATTTTTCTTGTAAACTTGCAAACTGTTACAAGTGCTGAGATAGAAATATGATATAAAAGATATTTATTGAAACATTTTTTTTGGTTAACATTTTATGTTACTGCCTTAAGGTAAATTCCTGGTTTTCTTTTGACTAAACAATACAGTAAAAAATGTATTTGTTGAAGTTTATAGAAATGAACACTAATTAAAAGCTTGCATGGATATTACAAGCTACTATATTGATGCATTTTGTGAGCTGATATTAAATGTACTCACATAAATTTGGGATTACCAAAGAAATATAAATTCAAGCCAAACATCACAGAAAAACATATGCCGTGGACAAGGGACAGACAGTAGGAGAGTCGTTTAACTTCAAAACCTCACCTAAAGGGCTTTAGTGACTGGGCTATGTCATTAATGTATACAAGAAAATAAAAGGACCTTGAAATGAATCTCAATCATGTGTCACTTAACTGTTCTCAGTCTAACATACTATCACATTATGAAGGAGTTAGGCCAAAAATATGCTTTCATGATTAGTTTTTGCAAGATGATGTGCTTTTGTTGCCAAAAGTTATTTTTGTTTACATTTAGCAAGGTAAGGTACCCTTAAGGTTACTGGATTAGGGCAGCTTTCGGTATAAAATTGTACATAAATGTAATTATAGAGGAATCAATTTTAGCTACCATATGAAAAATGTTTCAAAACATAAACTTTCAAACCTTTTCATTGATATCTGCTTTTGTAGACTGTGAAACTTTCAGTTTTCTTTGTAATGCCGTGTCAAGGTCAACTGAGCTTTCCTTCAGTTTCTCTGCCTCTAACTTCATCCTCAACGTACTGTTATACTCGGGTCGTGCAAACATATGCTCTTCACCACCAGCATAGTCATCTACTGGGTTCTGTTGAAAAATTGAAACGTGACTACCAATTACAACACTGTGTCACATTATGTTGCATTAATTTAATAACAATCTTATCTTTCGAGCTGGATTTTAAGTCTCATACCAACTTTGTGAAGATTATATTGTTACTTTTCAGCTTTACTGAGGAAGACCTTTTAAAAGAGACTCCTTTCTCCTTTTTGGATATACTATATGTATGTATATGTTAACATGAAAATGGTTTTTATCAACCAAAAATAAAGGTTAAAACCTCTATGACTTATAAAATGTCTCTCATATTAACTTATGTCACCGGTTTAGCTCATTCAAGATAATTTAATTATAAAATCTGCAGTGTTAAACATGAAGCATAAACTTAAACAAATAAGAATCGGAAATTTTATATATGGGGGAAAATTCAGATGCATATGGGTAATATTAGATACTTTTTCCAAAATTATAGTAAAATTTACAAAACAAACCTCTCTGAATGGGTAGTTGCATTCAGCTTCCACATGGGTATATTGATTATCTCGAAGGACCTTCACTTTCCTCTTTGGTCCGGTCTTTTCCGGTACCCTACATGCAGCTATTGGATCTCCCTTCTCCACCACTGGTAATTGTGGTATTGAAGCTTGTCGTGGTGCATCAGACTTTTCCCTTACAACCTTAACAACTTTCTGACCAACAGTTTGTGTCTTTGGAATGGTCTTGTTTCCTTTTTTATCACTTTTATCTACTTGAGATTTCGCTTTTATCACATTACTGGACTTAAACATTTGTCCTTGATTAGTGCAAGTTTCTTTAAGTGGGTCAAACACGGACTGGCTATTATAGTTTTCTACTGTACACTTAACATTTCTAGCATTTTCAGATCTTTCACTCAACACTTTTGTCCCTTCAGGACCTATATCAAATTCATAATCATCATCATCTTCATCATAAAGTTCTGGCTTATATTGTTTATCAGGTGATGATTTTTTAGGTATATATTCATTCACATTTGGATCTGTTTCATCCAAGTCGAATCTTACTCTCGGTTTTTTACCTTTATCATTATTTATTTCAGATCTTACTTTAGAAATTTCATCCAGGGCTTTCATAGGGGTGAGTGTTAAATCTGGATCTGGATTGGCATCTGGTTTTTTAAAAATAACATCATCAAATGAGCTAAATGTGGTGCTGCTGGAACTCTTAGCTTTTTGTGGTGTTATACATAAATCTGGATCATACATGAATGAGGAGTTTTTAGACTCTGGTTGTGGAGCTGTATGCAGCAAAGGGAGAGAATCCTCCTCAGATGAATGAGAAAAATCCCAGCCAGGTGGAGGAAAACGAGTGTGTGGCTTAGTACTGTTGTTGTATACTTCATACTGTGACACTGCCCCATGTGTTCTACCAGCCAGCCCACTTGGATAGTTGTGAGCCAAAGGCTCTGTACTTTGACAGATGAAATGTGTTGCCATCTTTATGGTGTTACTGAAGCATCTCTTTGCTATAAAATGGTTAAGTGAATCACTGAAATGTATAAAAAAAAATATAATAGGACATGAAAAAACAGAAGTGGGTAAATAAAAGAAAAAAATGTATGTTTTCAGATGAAAATCATCAGAATTAAAAGGAAAAGCTGGGTTCACACTTGACCTTTCCACATTTTTTAAGTCAAACACATTGCAGTAAAGAATACTTAACTCCTAGCTAGAAAACATTTCTTGAACAAATTATAATTCAAATTTTCATATCTGACCTAGACAATCAAGGTCATTTAAAGGTCAACATCACAATTGAATTAATCATCACATGTCAGTTTTGTCATAAGGATTTTTTTGTCCAAGTCTGAAATCTGTGAACATTAAATTGATGAAAATTTAAATAGATTTCAACAGTTTTACCTTGACAGACAAGGTAAATTAACCCATTACTTCATAAGCATTTTGTGAAAAATGGCTGTTTTCATTGAAAAGTCTCCCGTTACAAGTTAAAATTGCGATAAAACTATAAAAACTGCTTCAATACTAATCAAACTTGGCACAAATGTTGACTGGACCATTGCCTTTGTAACAACATGCCCAGGCTTAAATTTCCTGTTACCATGGCAATGAGGGGACATCTCAAAATTGTCAAAAATCATTATTTTGCCTTGATTTTTTTCCATCAAAATTGATTTCAAAGTACTGCAACTTCTCAATGGATTGAGATATAGTCAAATGCTTTTCAGCGCTGGTTACACATTACCTTATGATCGATCTGGGGTCTGGGGGCCTCTCACAAGTCCAAAATTTTCTTGGCGATGAGGGGGACTGCCGCCCCCTTCAAACCCCCCAAACAGAAGAGGCACATCCCCCTTCTGGCAACCTCCTGATGTATCTTTTGGTAGGGGGCCGCGCCAAAAAAGTGGTCACTTTTTTAACAACATTTCTAAAAAAACAAGTGTTGGGGGCCTAAATAAGGCATTTTTTCACCAATTGAGACAAAGGGGGGGGGGTGAAAAAGGCGTTAAAAGGTGTGTATATCGCGTAATGGGTTAAAGGTCAAGAACACATTTTAAACATATAAACATACAGGTTTTGTCCAAGTATTAAATGTATTTATGACATTTTTAGACCATGTCAGACTTTTTGTCTGATATGATTCTTTGGTATCTGGTATTCAGGATATTTTCCATTAATTTGGAGCAAATTGCCTTGTTTTTTTTATTAAATTCCTTTGCTGTTGATTATTTTTGACAGGAACTTGAGGAAGTTATGTTTTCATGCTCCAGCAAAATATCTACTTCGGTAAAGTATGACTGGCGAGCTCTGGCGACAGATCAAATAAGACTTAAAGAGCATTTAATAATTTTCAAAGGTCTAATATGAAACAAACATTCAGAAAGGTCTAGGATTATTTAATAATGCTTGAATTTTATTTAGGAAAGCTAAAAATTATGCCAGATTTTCATGCTGAATGCGCTATGCGTTTCTGAGCAATTGCGATATGATGTTGCTTTGCCCAGAAATATCTCAAAGCGACGTCATATTTATAGGACTCGTCACAAAATACTTGAATTTACTTATTTACAAAGTGCATGAAAGATCTGATTTACATGTTAACTAAATATGTTATGCTTGAAAGAGCTTCCGCGTCATAGGTAGCAGTACTACTACTAGCACCTAATTTCATGAATGACAATTCTCTCCCTTACCAGTCCCTCCCTCTGACGATTCTATCCCAAACTGTTTCCTCCCCTGACAGTTCTCTCCCAAATTTGAAATATGCAGACATATTTATCCATTAAACATCTAAATTCTTAAATGAAATATCTTTTTCTCTAATCTATATCAATAAATAATTAACTTACCCATTTATTTAACATCTAAATAATGTATTAATAAAAATATAAATGTGGAGAAACTGTCTGCTTATTTGCAAATATGCAGATGGTTCTCCCCCAAAATAGGGAAAAAACCGTCAGGGACGAAACGTCAGGTGAGGAACTGGTAAAGGAGAAATTGGCTATATCCTGGAATAGACCCCATGGTCTAAACCAGGAGTATATATAAGGTTCATTCCGTTTTGTTTAGTGTATTATATACAAGTTTTACTTCTGAAATATACATAGGGTTTAATCCAGGAGATTGCCGAGAAATTAGTCTGACTACCTTATTTCATATTATTCATACCGAAAATATATATAAATTTTTATTTGATTAGAGGGTCCAAAGTTCGAGACCAGGTCAGGCAGCTCATTTTTTCCAATATTTCATTGAACAGATACCATGACACTGCCTATCCTTATACAATATTTAAATAACACCGAAATATCCGATAACACCACCTATCCGAAATAATTACACTTTGTCAAGTTGGAACTCGCAAAATTAACAAAATCAACCTAAGATATGAAACTTGAAAGGTATCTTTAAGTAAATGTGATAGTTTACAATACACCTTAAATGAATTTTCGTGACATAATAAGACCCCAAAAAATAATCATACTTCTATAATTCTTTTTTTGATTTTTCAATAAAATCAAACTATTTTCGTTTCCGCCATTTGTAAACATTGACTGGTATACTACGTTTCATATAGCAAAATTGAACCAAGCAAAGTTAAATAGCGTAAAGGACTTTCAATTAGTAGAAGCTGCGAAACAAAGGCTTTTCTCTTCTTTTGTTTAAATTCGGTGTCACTGTTGTTTCCGAATGATGAACACAATACATGTAGTATGAAAACACTGAAAAGAGCGGTATTTTGGTCTAAGAATCCTAAACATGTTATTATTATAGGTATCCTAATGCATTGAAATTTGAAGATCTTATGAATAGTAAAAACAAGTCACATCTAAAAAAAAACCTTGCTTTATTTGTAAAGAAATAATAACAACATGCAAATAATATGTATAATGTTGTATCATTAGTCTCCTAGAAATTTTGTTTTTGAAGCCTTAATTCAGGATAATATGAAAAAGGCTAAGCCTCAAAGCGAGCTCGATGTACTTTTAACTGCAGTGACGAGTGCGTGTGACGTCACACGTACTGTGTTAAATATGGCTCCGCAACTGTCGTTAAATGAATAACGAGTTTTGAAGACGTGGATAAAACTTTGTTTGTTTATTTTATTTCACACGATAATTTTTCAAGCGAAATAAATATTATTAATTAAATAAATGTAAAACTTAAAACGTTTGCGACATTAAAATAGCGTACTTGATTTGATTGTTTTGCACGTGCTGTTTGGCGCTACATTATGACGTCACGTAAACAATACTTTAAACGTCTGTACAGCGTTAACGACTGAATAAAAGATATTGGTGTTCGGATTCATTTTCTTAGTTAGACCATTTTCTTTCATTCTACATAGTTTTCACAACAAAATTCGAAAAAAAATTGTTTTTATTTATCAGATTTTTCAAACAAAATGGCGCCTTCAACTGTCATTCGATATTTTATACACAGCTTCCGTTATTCTGTTTCCCTGTCCAATTATATTTCCCGTAGACGTGCGCGGGTGACCAGTCTACACATCCGTTTTCAGTCAGAATTCCACAGTTTTTATCGTTATCTTTAAATTCGAAAAGTTGCGATGTGTCCAATTCGGTACTTCGGACGAAAGTTTTCAAAACCATCACTTAGCAGGTACTCGCGTTACCGTAAAGCTCGCTTTGCGAGCAGGCCCTTCGGGCCAGCTCGTCGAGCTCGCTATTATCTAGTCATATTTTAAGAGGGTACAATATATGGGTACAATATATATAATTGTCACTCATTCTAAATTTTATGTATATTTTTCTGTGTTCCGGTTGATACCTGTTCACAATTTTGTAATTTATGTCACATGTTCTTCTGAATCATGACAGTATTGAATAAAATGTAAAAAAAAATCTAGCAAATATTAAGTATTTATGCAGGGTGTTGTTAACTTAGTTTATGCCATTCAGGGACAAAGATAAAAGAGACTGACAACTTCCTAAGTAGTTAAGATATCAAACTTGTAGCAAGTAAAACTTATTATGCAGATATCAAAATCAGTAAAATAACATGTTTTTTGAAAGCTTATACATTTGTGTATTTAAGAGAACTACTTAAAAAAACTTTTGTTACATAACTACATATATATATATATGCATATGGCGAAAACACTGGCTCAGTGGCTATATATGTTCTGCTACGTTTTTAAGTGATATCCATAGAAAGTTACTAATACGTTAACATGCAGCAAAGATAATTTAACATGTCTTCGTCCCCGCGAGGGGTTTGGGGTTTGGCATTAACGATGGATAGATAGATAGATAGATAGATAGATAGATAGATAGATAGATAGATAGATAGATAGATAGATAGATAGATAGATAGATTAGATAGGTTTGATAGATTAGATAGATAGATAGATAGATAGATACTTATAGATAGATAGATAGATAGATAGATAGATAGATAGATAGATAGATAGATAGATAGATAGATAGATAGATAGATAGATAGATAGATAGATAGATAGATAGATAGATAGATAGATAGATAGATAGATAGATAGATAGATAGATAGATAGATAGATAGATAGATAGATAGATAGATAGATAGATAGATAGATAGATAGATAGATAGATAGATAGATAGATAGATAGATAGATAGATAGATAGATAGATAGATAGATAGATAGATAGATAGATAGATAGATAGATAGATAGATAGATAGATAGATAGATAGATAGATAGATAGATAGATAGATAGATAGATAGATAGATAGATAGATAGATAGATAGATAGATAGATAGATAGATAGATAGATAGATAGATAGATAGATAGATAGATAGATAGATAGATAGATAGATAGATAGATAGATAGATAGATAGATAGATAGATAGATAGATAGATAGATAGATAGATAGATAGATAGATAGATAGATAGATAGATAGATAGATAGATAGATAGATAGATAGATAGATAGATAGATAGATAGATAGATAGATAGATAGATAGATAGATAGATAGATAGATAGATAGATAGATAGATAGATAGATAGATAGATAGATAGATAGATAGATAGATAGATAGATAGATAGATAGATAGATAGATACTTCATGTCTATTTTTTTCCTTTTTTAATATGCATGAGCGAAATTTCAGTGGAGCTGCTTATCTTTGTTATCTGTATCATTATATCTTGTAAAGCTCCACCTAGATTAAGTATACCTATAAATAAAAAAAACGTAAATAAATATACTTAATTGTATGTTTGTTTAAACGGAATTACAAATGTTAACAACTTGACGATATTTCGGATTTGGTTATAATTGCACATCAACGGACATTTTTCAAATGATTCTGATTGTCAGACATATTGTTCATTTTTATTTTACCGAAATCAAAACATTACTTTTACAGGGGTGTCAAATATATTCGTAATACACAGTTTCTGTTTTTGTTTACTTCAGAAGTCACGTGGTAGAACTATTGTTTATTCTTATTAAGGCCTCGATTATTTAGTCCTATAAATATCAAGTCGCTTTGAGATATTTTTGCTTTGGGGCAAAGCAGGCTTGACCGACAAAAACTATACGTCTATGATATATTGGACTACTCGATCATTGTGAATACCAGTCGAGGTGTTCCAATTGAGACGATGGCGGCGGCGGCCAGGCAGGTGACGATTAAACTTCAGTTATATAGAAAATGATGATCAGTGCGATTCAATCTGACTAAAGTTCAGATCTATATACATGTAGTTATTTGTTATAACAAATGCGTTGTTTTAGGAGCTGATTTTAATCAGTATGCAGTAAAATATTATATATTTTTCCTAAAACAACAAATATTTAAATCTTTAATTTCTGAATACTATTTTATTTATGCTTATAAGAAATAAGAGAAATAGAAACTCAATAAAGAATTCTTTTTTAATTCTGCAATTTCACTCTTTTCTGCAATTATGATACTTAGAGGTTGAGTTCTCTAAATTATGATAACCATTCTCAAAACAAAATTCATTCGGATTTATTCGATAGTTGTCATTTACGTAACAGCGGGGAAAGTAGAAGGGACAGAAATGACAACTAAACAACTCGTCCAGTTTTTGAAGCCGCAATCAGCTTTAGTAAAGCTGATCCAGGTAAAGATTTATTCACTTATAAGTAGAATAATCTTGCAATTTGAAATAGCGTTATTTTTTTTTACTTAAATGGAATAAAGCATAAATTCGTTGTATAACCTTGTAATGTTTTCAGTTTGAAGGTGAAGGTCGCTTAATAGAAACCCTAAAATTATTGTTTGATGTGGCTTATTTGTTGCTTTCTAGGCATTGATAATGAATGTCATTAATTTTTTTAATTATGATCCCTATTTATCTTAGACTAATTGTAAGTGAAAAATAAAAAAACAAAACATTCAGAACCCAAATTGGGCAAAACTTGAAGTTGTTGTGTAACAACTTACTAGACATGTTGTGTAGTGTTGACTTGATGCCAAGTTGTTATATCAGCTTTTTAAATAATAACAATTATACAAGTATAAAGACCTTGATTACTTGAATTATGAAATAATCAGTTCAGTATGTAAATGTAATAGGAAACTATAAAATACATACATTTTTGGCTGGATTTTACTATTTCCACATATTTTATATTTATGTTAATATGAATACAGCAATGCCTCAAAGCGAGCTCTTAGACAGAAATTATAATTTAAAGACCAGTCTATGCATACTTTTTCAATCAGAATTCCTCGGCTTTAATTGTTATCTTGTAACTCCAAAAGCTGTGGTCAATTACCCATAATTTTGCAGTACTCCGGTGAAAGTTTTAAAAACCATCACTATCTAGCAGGTACCGCGTTACTGTAAAGCTCGCTTTGCTGCCTACTCTTCAAGCTTGCTATTAAGTTAGTAACTTACACTATAGATTTCTATGCATAGGATCATGTTTTACTGATGAATTCTTCCTTTGATATCTATCTTAGCCTTGTCTTTTAAATCATTTAATTTAACTCTTTATGTAAATTAAATATAAAAAAAGCACTCATTAATGTCAAATTTATATCCTAGAATATTTATGTTGTAGACAAGATTTGCACAGACTGCTGCAGCACCTCAAGAAAAAAGAATAAAGAAGTTCTCCATCTACAGATATGTAAGTAAATAGATGTCCATGTTAATTTCTTATTTTTTTCATAGATGAATTCATTTTTTTTAATTGCATACTCCAGTTCAATGTTGTTGTTGGTGTCTTCACGATGGCACCAAAGGGGGGAGGGTTTTTTTATGTTAGTGAACTTTTTTCAGGGCTTCCGTTAAGTTCCAAAATTTGGATGTCAGAGGCAACAAAATCTCTGATTTTGGAAGTCACATTATATAGGTAAAGAAGAAAAAGTATTAGATTTTGGATGTCACAAGCCAAAATCAAGGAGTAAATGACTCCTAAACTTCCTTTAACGGAAGCCCTGTTTTTTTTTATTAAATCATAGATGCCATTATAAAGATAAATTTGCAATGTTTGTTTCTTGCGCAAGTTAATTAATTTAAAATGAATAATAAATTTTAATAGAATAGTTGTTATTTTAGTAGAGAAATGTTAATTATTTCATTTATCTAATTAGGACCCAGACAAGCCTGGAGACAAACCAAGACAACAGATTTATGAAGTGGACCTCAATACGTAAGTTGATAAAAGAAGACAAACTCTTAACAAAAACTTTTTAAAATTTGTTGAAAATTCACATAAAAAACTAGAGAGTAGTATTGAATACCAAGTAATATTTAGATTTATATAATTATGATTTTTAGCTCACCTGTCACAAAGTGACAGGGTGAGCTTTTGTGATCGCTTTTCGTCCGGCGTCCGTCCGTCCGTAAACTTTTACTTTAAATGACATCTCCTCATAAACCACTAAGCCAATTTCATCCAAACTTCACAGGAATGTTCCTTTGGTGGTCACCTTTAAAAATTGTTCAAAGAATTTAATTCCATGCAGAACTCTGGTTGCCATGGCAACCGAAAGAAAAAACTTTAAATATCTTCTTTTAAAAAACCATAAGAGCTAGAGCTTAGATATTTGGCATGAAACATCTTCTAGTGAGTGTCTACCAAGTTTGTTCAAATAAAAGCCCTGGGGTCAAAATTGGCCCCGTCCCGGGGGGTCATTGATTTTCCCTATATGCATATAGTAAAAACTTCAAAATCTTCTTTTAAAGAACCCAAAGAGCTAGAGCTAAAATATTTAGCATGAAATATGTTCTAATGGGTGTCTACCAAGTTTGTTCAAATAAAAGCCCTTGGGTCAAAATTGGCCCGCCCCGGGGGGTCATTGATTTCCCTTTATGCATATAGTAAAAACTTAAAAAATCTTCTTTTAAAGAACTCAAAGAGCTATGGCTAAGATATTGAGCATCAAACATGTTCTAATAGGTGTCTACCAAGTTTGTTCAAATAAAAGCCCTGGGGTAAAAATTGGCCCCGCCCCAGGGGGTCATTGATTTTCCCTATATGCATATAGTAAAAACTTAAAAAATCTTCTTTTAAAGAACCAAAAGAGTTAGAGCTCAGATATTTAGCATGAAACATGTTCTAATAAGTGTCTACCAAGTTTGTTCAAATAAAAGCCCTGGGGTCAAAATTGGCCCCGCCCCGGGGGGTCATTGATTTTCCCTATATGCATATAGTAAAAACTTAAAAAATCTTCTTTTAAAGAACTCAAAGAGCTATGGCTAAGATATTTAGCATCAAACATGTTCTAATAGGTGTCTACCAAGTTTGTTCAAATAAAAGCCCTGGGGTCAAAATTGGCACCGCCTCGGGGGTCATTGATTTTCCTTATATGTGTATAGCAAAAACTTAAAAAATCTTCTTTGAAAAAACCCAAATAGCTAGAGTTAAGATATTAAGCATGAAACATCTTTTAGTGAGTGTCTACAAAGTTTGTTCAAATAAAAGCCCTAGGGTCAAAATTGGCCCCGCCCCGGGGTATTGATTTTCTTTATATGTGTATAGCAAAAACTTAAAATCCTCTTTGAAAAAACCCAAATAGCTAGAGTTTAGATATTAAGCATGAAACATCTTCTAGTAAGTGTCTACAAAGTTTGTTCAAATAAAAGCCCTGGCCCGGCCCCAGGGGTGTCATTGTTTTTAACTATATGTGTATAGTAAAAACTTAAAAAAAATCTTCTTTTTAAAAGCCCAATGAGCTACAGCTTAGATGTTAAGCATGAAACATCTTCTTATGGGTGTCTACCAAGTTTGTGCAAATAAAAGCCCTTGGGTTAAATTGGCCCTGCAACGTTGGGGGGGGGGGGTTGGGGGGCCTATAAACAGGTGGGCGACCTCAGGGCCATCATGGCCCTCTTGTTCAATTCTCTTGTCCACATTTCCCTTCTTGCTAAGTTTTACCGTTCATAAAATATGATGATAAAATTGAAAATAGGTCATACCTGATTTTGTTAAAAATATGTTTTATTGTTATTACTGTTTAACACTTACAGAGTTATAATTTATGAACAGTATCCATATATAACGAAGCACTTTTATTTCACCTTCAAAGATAGTGCATGCATGGATGTTATAAGGAGGTTACTACAGGCCATTATGAGTATCTCAATGCATTTTGTTCTGCTGCAAATTACTCTTTTGTTGTATGTAAAAACAACACCTCGCGAAAAGAAATTTTGAATGACAACACTGGTGTTGTTTATAGTTATGACAGGTCATTATCCAAATAAACAAATAGCAAGTGATGTTAAAATTGAAACTGTTAGTCAGCATCAAGTAACTTATTGAATGTCTTGCAAAGTTGCTTTCTGTTTTGAGACAACTTAAATGTCTTACTCAATTCACTTTTCATCCAATCTGAATGCCAATATCATTTTATTTGTTTGGGTCGTCAGACCAAACAAATAATGGTAGCGAAATTTCAGACCCTGATACTGTTAATTGCAAATGCGGAAAGTAGTCCGCTTTTGTGAAGTGGTTTCTTCCCTTTATATGTACACTAACGCCGAAAAATTCAGGGGAGATCACTGCGTAAAGATGGTCAAATGACAGGTGATTGATTTTCAAGCAAAAAAGTTCCGGAATGGTCGAAGGTTTCTAATATTGTTTTATTCTTTACAGATATACATGCTTATAGTAAGCTCCATGATTATTAACAGCAGTGAGCGTTGAAGTAATAAGGGTTACAAACCCTAATTAGAATAATATGGTTTTCTTCAGGTCGTTAACATATAACTTCACCTTGGCCGAGGGGTTTGCACGCTCGCTTAGGAAGCGAGAGGTCTGGAGTTCAAATCCCAGTTGAGGCAACTCATTTTTTTTTTTCAAAATGTTTAAGTCAAATAATCATTGAATTGAATATCAGTGTTGCAATCAGTCTTATTGCCAATTTACTACCATTAAAACGCTGAAAAGCATTGGTGGCACTATACAAAAACAAATTGGTTTATAATCTCACAACCTTCACCTTTCTAACATTCTGAGACCCAAACAAATTCAGCGCCTTCTGTGCTTTGATTTTTCATTTCTAATAAAGTTGTCATAATTTTGTGTAATATTCAGATGTGGCCCCATGGTGCTTGATGCCCTTATCAAGATCAAGGACACTGAGGATCCAACTTTGACCTTCAGGAGGTCATGCCGTGAAGGTATCTGTGGATCGTGTGCCATGAACATTGGTGGACTGAACACTTTGGCTTGTTTATGGTAAAAAAATTTTGTGCTTTTTAATCTCTCTAAATCTATTAATGCATGTCTCCAGATGTTTGCTAATTTTCATGAAAATTTTAGAAATGAACTTAAATAGTAAAATATTGTAAAGTGAACAAATAAAGTTATTTACATACAAGCTTTTGTTAGAGTATTTAATTTCTGGAAACACCAAAAGCTATTGTTAACTTATTGTTCATCTTGATAGAGAAGTATTTGGAAAAGCATTTTAAATTTAATTATAATTTGGTAAAAACAGTTCTGGCACAATTTTCAGAAATTTTTATATGAATTAAATAATCTAATCTAATATTTATATGCTCACCATATTGTTTTGCAAATTTTCATTTAACCTTGATTTTAATAGAAGTACTAGCTAGTTCCCTTCCTTTAACAATTTGTAAAGTTCGTTAATCTGCAGCAGATAAATTCAGACTTTGAACCCTAACTTAGAGTTGTTATTATTATAACATTGTCATTAGCTAGACTATTCAAAGAAAGGAAAGAACAATTGTACTCTTTCCCGGCATCAGTGTCAGTGTCACATTTGTGTTTTGTTTTGAATGCAAGTTGGTATCTCTAAAACTTATGAAGAGAATTGGTTGAAACTTCACACACTATTCTTTTAGCATAATAGGGGGTCACTATCCAAGGTTCAAGGTCACTGTCCAGGGCTCATTACTTTTACACAAATTTTGACAGAATTATTGCCCTTTCTGAATTTTGAAATTCCTACATTAGCAAGGCTCTTGTTTAACTATCAAGCAGCAAGAATAGTCAATTGTATTTTGAAAGTGGTAAATTCTACATTTTCAGACTCTTGTATAACTGTCAATCATTGAGAATAGTTGTCCTACCAACATATCTTGTTTTACTATGTAATTATATTATTGTATTTTGCAGTAAAATTAACGACAATAGTCAGACATTGAAGATTTACCCACTTCCACACATGTATGTGATCAAAGATCTTGTACCGGTAAGTTTATAATCATCTTATCATATACATTGTATATGTTGGACAATTTTACCATGTCAGAATACTGGTTACATGATGCCTTTGAGATAGATGGTATTGTGTCACTCTTATATATAAAAAGATGAGTTTTAGCATTTGGATTTTGCCAGCAAATTCTAAATTGTATTTGTTCTATTAGTTTGTTTGTTTTTGTCAATAACGTTTATCCAGCAGATGTTTTTTTTTTAT